GTCTTGAAAAGCCTGTTCACTTTTAAGGGTCTCAGTGAAGCTGCTTTAAACTCCCCACACTTATACTGGAGTGAGTAAAGCTGAATCACAGACGAGGTTGATTTCAGTACTGTGTGTAGAAGAAGAGACAGATTGTAGATTAAATTTCCGGATGGTGTGAATCTGTTTCATGTCATGTCGAAAAAACAGCAACTGTGCTATAAAAATCTATCATCTCTGGATGTTCATGATCGCCTTGCAGCTTCAGCTAAATGGTCACTGCAGGCGCTCCGTGTTTGGACCTGAGGTTGAGAGTGTAAAGTGGGCTAAATGCCGTGATTCTAAATCTGTACTGACTGAAGGTGTAAGACAAGCTCCTCTCGTCTGCTTTCCTTTTCAGTTCCTGTTTTCATGACCAGTTACACACAGATACGGTTCTACACCACTCCTGCATCAGTGTATAGCTAATCTTTCAGAGGTCACAGAATACTGGCCAAAATCTTTATTTTTCTTTTCTGTGGCTAAATATTTACATCTGATGGGTAGATTTGTTTCACCCACTAGACATGGTGGCTGGTCAACCAACATAATCGATATAAAATCAGCTTAGTCTGAGTGTTGTTGTCAAGAGAAACATCCATCCATCCATCCTTCATCTAAACCGCTTATCCTTCTGGGTCGCAGTTCAAGAGAAACAGTACAAATGAAAACTTCACACAGCATGAATGCTGCACTATGAGTGAGCATGGCTGTAAATCTTAACTATCTTAGCACTTATTCTAATTTAGACTAATAGCTAAATCTGCCTTTGTGGGTTCATTGATGAGATAAAGCATAAATAAAGCATTATCAGAGTTAAGAAATGAATGGAATTATCAAACAAATCCACTGTGAATAGATTTTACCTCTCAATAACTTTGCTCACCTGACTGAGCTCAAGGCCTTTAAGTAGAAGGAGAGAGACTTGAAATACAAACACACCATCTGGTATAATAGATGATGCTGGACACAGGAGAGGTCAAGCCTGACATCTTTAACTCTTTTAAATTAAACTATCAATGTTTAAAAGAGGATAAAAGAAATATCAGTGATGTTACAGTCGTCTGTGGCAAGACAGCATATTTAGTCTTGCTCTCTCTGGGAGGGTAGGACAGCCCTCCTTCTTGTGGTCTCGAATAAAGATACAAAAGGAAGAGACCGTGAGCTGAAAGAGGAAGGAGTGATGACAATGCAGAATGCACAGATGCACCTTCCGTGACTTCTTACTTGATCATAGTTTACAAGTGTAGAGCGAGTAACGGTGAGCAGAGTAGTGATCAGCTCACTAACTACTTAGAAGAGTGACTCTGTGGTCAATTATTTTAGTCAGGATTCATCTTTTGAGACTTTATCAGTTAAATTTAGCTCTACTTTATTTTCTAGACCTTCAAGAATCAGCAGTTAGTAGGGTGATGCTGCCATGACATCCAGAACATCAGGAAATATCACAGCAGCAGTAGTGATCCTCATATTACTGGCAGGTAAACTTACATTTTTATATTCATTCACCTGAACTTAAGAGTATTAAGTTAAAGACATTCAACATGTTGTGTCATTTTAATTACAGTCTTTTTGTTTTAGAATATTTAACTACAAACCAATCAGACTCCAGGTAGATCAGCAATATTCAACTCTAGAGGTTTTTCCTGCTCAAACACACCTGGTTTACCTGAGCAGTTATCAGCCAGGTTTATTAGATGTGTTTGAGCAGGGAAACTGGACACTGACCCACCAGGACCAGAACTGTAAAGAATCTTGACTAGATTTCTTGTGGTTTACAGCTTTAGGAGAAAACATACAACAGCTACTGTAGCAAATCATTTTATGATTTGTTTGAGCTTTTTATATTTGAATTAGAGATATTCTGTATCAGTGTGCATTCTAAACTGAACAAATCTCCATATAAACGTCTTTAAATTGTTTCATACTGAGGTCTGTTTTTTTTTTTAAGATTTCTGTATTTAATCTAGATATGTTGATTGTCAGTTTCTAGCTATTCTAAACTATGCAGAGCTTCATATTGAACATTTTAAACAGTTTATACTGAGTTCAGTTCCTCTGCAGTTATTAACACCAGCAGTCAATTTCACATGTTCTGTGTTGCTCATAGCAACAGCAGCAGTAGTTCACACTGTGGTTACTCTGTCAGTGAGACTGCAAGAGTTCCCCCCTCACATCTGAACTTGTGCTCCTTGATGTGTGTGTGTGTGTGTGTGTGTGTGTGTGTGTGTGTTTCAGGAGTTCAGGCTCAGCACAGTGTAACTCTCTCCTCTCAGAGTCTCTGTGCTGTTACTGGATCTACAGTAAACATCTCCTGTAAATATACAACAGCTGATTCCTCCAGAGTCAGAGAGAGAGAGTGGTATCAGCTCCAGAGCTCTGATGGAGAAGAACGAGTCCTGAGTAAAGATCCTCAATACTCAGCACGAGTTTCTGTAAGAACAGAGCAGAATGACTGTGATCTGACAGTGAGAGATGCGACAGTGAGAGACTCTGGAGTTTATAACTTCAGATTTAGAACATCAAGCAGTGACTGGATATCAGCTTCATCTGGAGTTAATCTGACTGTTACAGGTAAATAAACACACTGATGTGAACAGAGTTTCTGTTGTTCAACCAAAACACATAATGATTTACAAAATTCATGTGTATGATGTCGATCTGATGTGTGTGTGTGTGTGTGTGTAGAGTTGCAGGTGAAGGTGGATCGTAAGACTGCAGGGCACAGAAAGGTGAAAGTGACCTGTAGCTCCACCTGCAGCCTCGGTGAAAATCTTAACTACCACTGGTACAGAAATGGAGAATGGAAGTCATATAAAGATGATGCCTCCATTGTGCTGGACTCCACCAGTCCATCTGATGAGGGCAGCTACTTCTGTGGGTTGTATGACAGCAACCGTAATTGGCACCAGTCTCCTTCAGTGTGTAAGTGTCAGGCAACCTAAACCTCAGATCACCCAGGCTCTATATGCTGCTGTGCAAAGGTTCACTCACACCATGAGTTCCTGTTGTTGTAATATATAATGTAACAAATGCACTAGAGCCTTATTTTTCAGCTTTGTTTTCCAACATCTCTCAAAAAACAGAATTATCTGCAGAGTCTATTTGGGACTGACTCTATAGTTTACCTTTTTAATTTATTTTTAATCTTCTTGTTGTTGTAGAGTGATTTTTTTTTCACAAAATTGGTCCCATCTATTGCAATTAAAAAATAAGCCAAAGTCAAATTTATTTATATAGTGCTTTTTACAACAGGCATTGTCACAAGGCAGCTTTACTGAAAATCTGGGTCCAGGCCCCCATAACCAAGCCAATGGCAACAGTGGTAAGGAAACCTCTCCAAAAGCAAGAGGAAAAAACATTGAGAGAAACCAAGACTAAAAAGGGGAACCCATCCTTCTCTAGTCGACACAGGATAGCAAAACAAAAATACAAGAACAAAATGAATAGAGAATAAAAATTAATATATTTAACTAATATATTAATTTATATGAATTAAAACATTGAATATAGATAAATGGAAAAAAGAACCTGCCTGTCAATGGAGAGAAGTATTGATATTAAACAGTGAAAAACAGGAAATACATCAAATATAAGTTGTTTATTACATTTTCACTTCCAAATGATTTTGGTGGCTCTGTGGTTAGTTACATATCATCACTGTCCAAAGAAAAACAAGTATCTCCAAAATGGTAACTTTACAGTAGAGAGTAGAAATGTTCTTTACCTTTAATGTCAGTTAATGTAACAATATTTTTTTTCAAGTAATTTTAGAGCATTGCTATTGGTCCATTCATGAAATTTTCAGATTATGTAAAGGACAGCCACCAAATGATGCAGAAAAACAAAAATCGACAAAAATGGAGATACATGTGTTTCTTTGGACAGCAACGATATGTAAGATCTGCAGTATACTTGAGTTTAAGTAATAATAAGAGTATTCCTACAATACTTGCAGACATTAAGCATGATGATCCTATGAAATGTAAAAAAAAAAAATCTGTCTCGCATTTGTTTTTCTTTAATGGTCAGGTAAATATCGGTGCAGAAATCATCATCTGAACTCATTTTTGCTGACTGTGTGTGTTTCAGGTGTTCTGGGTAGAGAGTGTTGGGGTGTGACTTACACTCCTGAACGTGTGTGTGCTCTGAAAGGTTCATCAGTTGATCTTTCCTGCTCTTATAAACACCCTGGAGGACACACAGTGACTAAATCAGTGTGGTTCATTAAAGAGCAGGCTGGTGCTGAGCCTGTGGATGTGAGAGAGGATGAGGAATATCAGGGACGAGTGCAGTACAGACAGAGCTTAGAGCTGCATAACATAAGTTTCATTAACTGTGAGAATATTGTATTGATGAAATTAACAAAATATGTTTGAAACTTCCTGCAGATCTGAAGGTTACAGTGTCAGAAAGAAATTGGGGGAGGCAGTGTCTGATCTGTAGCAGCACCTGCACTCTGCCTAACAATCCCTCTTACATCTGGTACAAGAACCAACAGCCTTTTTCTAACAAATATAGAAAAGTGCTTTTTCTGTATGACAGAACTGTGCACACAGGCAGCTACTCCTGTGCTGTAAGAGGTCGTGAGGAGCTCTGCTCTCCTGCTGTCTGTAAGAACTTTGATTTAGTCTTCACTCACTCTGTCATCAACTCAGTTGCAGCTCTGTTTGATTACAGATACACATGGCTGAGATGTACTGATGTACGTAAGGGTGGGAAATACAATATGTATGATGGTAGTTTGACATTTTCTAGCGTTTACAAACAACTTGGAACAGATATCATGCACTGGTTATTTACAGGCTTTGTACAGTTTGCCTAAATGTCTATTTTTATGAAACATGGCCAGTGTTTTAGAAATACGGTACTCATGCACTGTGCACTGTACACAGGAAAGTGCATTGGCACATCATTTTGAAATGACAGATCACCATATTGCCCACTACTCTTAGCATTTGATACAGTTCAGTTTTTGTGTTGTGGGTGTTTTAGGTATTTATTCAGTTTAGTTTGTGTTTCCTATTTTTCTATAACTCACTTTGTGTGATTCAAATGTTTTCAGTGTAACAGAGTTTTTGCATTTTAGGTGTTTTTGATCAGAAGAGCTTCTGGAATGTGTCTTACCCCACCCAGACTATCTGTGCTCTGATTGGCTCATCAGTGGACATCCATGGTTACTACACCTTTCCTGGTCAGCTGCCTGACCCTCAGCCTGCATGGTACATCAGACTCCATAGACAGGACAAAGAGCTGAGTCCTGCAGACGGCCGAGTGGAGTTTTTCAGTGACAGAGTTAATATGAACACATTGAGACTGAAACATCTCAGAGAGAGTGACTCAGCAGAATATCTCCTCCGATTTAAAGCCCCCTACTGGAATCACACACACAGCTCTGCTGGGGTCTCTCTTTCTGTCACAGGTAGGAGAAGTGTGTTCTGATTCTGCTTGTGTCTCAGTGTTTACTGTCTGTCTGAGCTCTAAAGACACTGATGGGGGCCTCTCACAGGCCTGCAGGTGAAAGTGGGACCTATTGCAGTCACAGTGACAGAGGAAAAAACAGTAACACTGATGTGTAGCAGCACCTGCACTCTGCCGAACAACCCCACATATATCTGGTACAAGAACGGACAGCCAGTGATTCATTGCAAATCTGCCTCCTGCTCTGTAGCTGTGGTCAGTGGTGCGGTCAGCTACAGCTGTGCTGTTGAAGGTCATGAGAGATTCGTCTCTCCTCCAGTGTGTGAGTGGGCAGTTTTATATGCTTTTATACTATGTATCTATTTATCTATCTTATCATCTACTGTGTGTTATCATATATGGTGATGATTCAGTTAATGATAAGTGATGAATTATTTATTAACATGAGCTCATCTGCTACCTGAGCAATCTCAACTTATGTACGTTTGAATCTTTTTCCAATCAGACTCTCCTAGAAGCACCATTGCAGTGATAGTTTCCTCTGGAGAGAGAGTGGAGGGAGATTCAGTGACTCTGAGCTGCAGCAGTGATGCAAACCCTCCTGTTCTCACCTACTCCTGGTTTAAGAAGAGAGCAGCTGCAGACGCACCACTGACAATAGGCCAGAATTACACCATCACCAACATCAGCTCCCAGCACAGTGGACTCTACTACTGCACCGCTCACAACCAGCTAGGACAGCACAGCTCAACACCCACCAGTCTGAATGTTTTACGTAAGCGTCACACATTCAAAAACAATAGTATTAACAAAATGTAAAAATGGAGGATTTTTTCATTTTAGCCATTTGTTCAGAGAATGATCTGGCCTGAATGTAAAGGAATCACGTGCGTATTATGATTCATACAGATACATATTAACAAGAACATTTTGCATTAGATGTTCTATGTAAACACTACAGTCCAGACATCCCAGCAGAAAGTCCCTCAGGTTCAGCCTTTCTTAGAATGAATGGAGCCTGCTTAGTGATGCTGTGTCCTCATGTATCCGGATATTTTTGAAAACAGTTTCCAAAAAAATCCTTACCCACGCTAATGTTTTCGCATGAGCATGCCAGCCCAATAAGGTGAGATAATGCTCCATAAACAAGAACTGAGCACAGTACATTCTTATGCCTCTGCACTATGGCTTAATTTAAAATAAAAGACAAATTCACTTATAAACATGATTATAATTCTTACTCACCTTATAAATCGCTCTTAAATTGCTGATCGCACCGAAACAACCAAGTCAGTCATATTTCAGAGTTCTTCACCCTTTAAAAATCTCCACCATGGAGAGCATTTTATGAAATATGAAAAATGTAGCAGCTGTGTAAATACTGTAAATATCATGTTTCTTTGTTAAACCAAATGTTAACAGAGTTTCATGAGTATGGTGATTCAGTGTGAGTACAATAATCCTGATTTTTGTCTAAACTCTTCTACAGCTTTCGACTTTAATTAAAGAGTAAACCTTTCTACACCTTTTTGTCCATCAGAGAGAGGAGAGATACTGGCCCTCCATATGTTTTTTTTTCTGTACTTTTATGTTTGTAACAAAATCAATCATGGGACAAAAGTACAGGATGTTTGATTCCTCATGTTAGGTGAGTGTACGTATTGAGGCAGCTGTCTGAACCCTGAACACACAGAGAACCGAATGTGTGGAGAACTGACTGTGCCTTTAGAGTCAGTAGATATAAACAGACACAGAGTCTCTGAGTCAGTTTGATGCCTTTTAAATCTCTCTGTGGTCTTTTTATGAGCTCTTAGAACTTACTGTTCTTCTCTGTAAGTGATGATGAGGCTGATGGATTTGTGAAGGTGCTGAAGGTCCAGAGGAGAGTTCAGTGTTAAAGCTGATCACAGAGAGAGTGGTGGTCTTTCTGGGAGTGGTGGTCTTTCTGGCTCGAATACTCATCACAGCAGCTCTGTGGATGTGGTATGTGAACTATTAATGAGATGCATTTAATTTAACAGGAAGTTTCAGCTTGTATGAACTCTGAGCTGGTTGTTTGTTGTTCAGGAGAAAAAAAGGCAACAGCAGCGCTGAGGAGAGTGAACAGGTGAGCGTGTCAGATATGAGAGACTGAGTGACCGAATGATCAAATCATGTATTTACACTATGCTCTCTCTCTCTATCTCTCTCTCTCTCTCTCTCTCTCTCTCTCTCTCTTCTCTCTCTCTCTCTTTCTCTCTCTCTCCCTCTCTCAGCGATATGCCGCTGCTGTGTATGATAATGTGTCAGCTCAGCCGTTTCAGCCTGCAAACAGAGAAGATGATCAGGACGACATTCACTACTCCAGTGTTTACTTCACACCCTCTCACTCACAGGAAGAGCCTCCATTCCGCACTGCTAAACGTCCTCTAGACTCCACAGAAGAAGAGGGTGTTCAGTACGTTGCTGTGAATTTCAGCAGACACACTGCTGCCCCCCAGTGAGTAAATCATGTCATTACATCTGCACTGATTCAGACGAGGTTTAGTTTAACACATTTATCTAGTTCATCTCTTCATGTTCTCAGGTCTCTTTTGGCTGAAGCAGCTGATGATCCATCTCAGACCTACAGCCAGATTCAAAAACAGAAACCTGCAACATAAACAGCAGAACACGTTCACTGTGAGCTCAGTGGACTGAACTTTCAGAGCTGAAGACGCATGAGCTCTGGATCCTGGAGAAAAGCTGAGCTGTTCACTGTAGACCAAACCTGCACATTAAAAAGAAACTCAGCTGACATGAGTTCTGCTTTGATTATAGCTCTGATTCACATTGTAGTTGTACTGCCTGCAGATTTGGAGCCAGAGTCGACGCTTAACACAGAAAATCAACAAGTGTGCAAAAAAAGAACACATCCTCCATGATGTAGCTGAACACTTTGATTTATATTTCAGTTCAGAGCTCAAAGCAATTTAGAAACATTCTATAAATGCAGTTACTAAGTGCTTCATTTATTTTTAGTTTATTTAGCCTACTTGTGCTTTTATTTCATTTTATTTCAGTTTATTGCTCAGTTCATTTTTTTATTAAAAACATTTTATATTTTTTTGTTTGTCTTTTATATGTAGCTCCTAAACTTTAGAACAGTGATACAGACAATAATAGGAGCACAGGTTCCGTAGATGTTTTTAGATTAAAACACATTTGTATAGGCTCTATTTGTTTTGTTATCGGGTCTCATTTTTACTTTTCATTCTTTACTCTGTAAACTCTGTTTACTCTGTTTTTCATTTAAAAAATAATGTTTATCCTGGTATTTTGCTAATACTTGAGATTCTGTAATAAAAATTAAAAAAATGCTATTTAAAGTTTGAGTCAGCAGCAAATTTCATTTTATGCTTTTATTTCTTTTATTTAGTCTTGATTCACAGAAGCTCTTTTATCCTATTTTAAAAGCAGTGCATAGGAGGAGATCTGGGTTGCCATGTTGCAAAAGACAAAATCCACCAAAAAATCTGGGGTTAAATAAAAGCTCTCTTAATGAGTCTGAACTCCTTGCAGAACATTCAAGGACCTATAAATAAGCAGATTCGGTAATGTTACTGTGAATATTTCAGTTGATGTTCACATCTAGTAAACATACAAATAACATTATATTGTTGTTTAAAGTAGTAGTTCCCAAACCTGATGCAAAAAAAGCAAGTTTTTTTGAAGGCTGAAATTGTACAATAATGCTAGAAATGTCTTTTGAGTACTTTTTTGGTAAGAAACAGAGTTAGAAAAAATAAACTTAGACTTAGGAACACATTTTAATTTTTTTCATGTTACCATTCGGGGCTTCTGTAGCAGAGAGATCACAGTTTTGTTCATGCCTTCAAATGGACCTTTTTGCTGATGCATTTGTAAAATGTTAAATATACTGTCCCAAAAACACTCTGAATTTCTCAGGGTAAACTATCTGCTCCGGCCATTGAGAACTCCATTGTTAAAGTTTTTCAGAGGTAGCAACAGTAACCAAGGGGGCGGAACTTAGCAGTAATAAATTCTCCAGACATGCTAATTTGGTCTTATATGGAAATATAAGAAAAAATGTGTTGAAAAAAAAAATCAGCACATTTTGAAGCACTGAATTAATTCTTGTTTAATTAAAAAAAAGCATCTATCTTGATTTAGAGTTTATATATGAAGCTCTAATCTCACCAGTGTAGAAATGTAGAAACAACATATTTATAACAGACACTGATTTCAATATGATCTAATTCTCATCTGGAGGAAGAAAACTAACAATACAGTGATTCTTATGAACGGAGTCTGAAGCTGGCTGAGTGTTAACGTTTCTTTTGTAAAGTCTGGATAAATGTGAGTTTAGCTGTGCAGTTCAGTGAAGATCATCATGAAGAGACTTTGATCACCACCTTTACAAACAGAGACAGTCTACATCAGAAAAAAAACCAAAATCCATGTTTTAATGCATGAATAACTAAACAGTATAAAATACAATAATAATTCTTATTTAAATATATAATTATATTAAAATATTATTATTTTTTAAAATATGTACACATTAAGTGGTGTACTTGTTTAATCAAAATGGTCTAATTGATGACATTGTGCTCTTTTACACTTAACCCCCTTTAACACACAAGTAAATTGACACTGCTACATTGTGTACATTTAAATCAGCTCTACATTATATTTACTTGTTTGTCGGCATTTAGTGGAAACTTTGTGTGTTTATTTGAAATTTGGGCTCAACAGTCCATACAGCCAGATGATTGGCTAATGTCTGTTCTAGAACTGATCCAACATTCTGTGGAATATTGATAACAGCAACCGAGTTCAAACACTCACATCAAACTCTGTTCTGAGTGAGATATTGTGCTGCTGAATCGCTGCTCTTCACAACTTTATTACTGCAACTACATTCATCTGGAAACTTCTACATTCTTCTGGAAGCTCTTCTACACATTCACAAGAATCTACAGAAAATGGTAAATTTGTTACTTTTTCAAGTAGACAAAATAATTTTTTCAAAAACATAAGTCAATGATGAGAGAATGTGCATCAAATCAATGTAAGATGATGTGAAGTGTAAATTGTTGTTTCAGGACAGAGAGAATTGCAGCTCTGGGGGTCCTTATGGACTCAGAAGAAGGACCACCCCCTCAAAGCAACTGAGGGATTACATGCTGGAGGGAGAGGCTACATCTGGGGACACAGGTCGCAGGAGGAAGAAGGCCAAGCTTCAGCGTGTGGCTACAGAGTCCAGAGGTGGGTAGAGGAACCTAACAGTCCCAACAAGTAACTATTTTATATTGTGTCATTCATGTGGAGCTCCACTCTTCCACAGCAGCCCTGGAGCTTTTTTAGACTCTCATCTCCCCAAAATAGCACAGTCTATACTAACATACAGCATAAATACTCCACTGAGATCAGGAGCTTTTCAGTTTTTATCATATATTCATAAACATTTCCTTAATTAGAAGCATTTAATACAGAAATATTCACTTTGTAAATAGCATTTGTTGTTCGCTAGCATAATGTTAATTTCTATTAGTACATGAATGGGATTTTTTATGGGATGTTAGCGCCAAGCTAATGATGATATATCTTCATTTTTCCACACCGGATTTAATATTACTTATGGTAGTGTTGACATGTGAAGCTGGTAAGTCATAGATTTAAAAATATTCTTTACTTTGTATTTTGCAGTTTTACAGTAAAATCTCTCGATAAATATTTAACTTAGAGTCTAATTCTGAATGTTACTGGATTAGCCTGTTAGCCTGTTAGCTATCTGTTGAGCTGGTTGTTAAACCAGATCACATTCTTTTGTAGCATGAATATAGAATGATTTTAGATTCGTATACACACAGTTTAATACTGCAAACATGTGTTAACACATTCTCTAATGTTCTACAGTAAAAACTGATTCTACTAGAAATGACTCATCTGATATTTTCTTATAGGCTATAAGAACCATGTTAGTAGAGATGCTGTCTGTGAAAATGTAGCTCCTCTGAAAGCTTCGTCTGAAGTGCACGTCAGTACATCTGTTAGGACTGTGTTTCATATCAGTGAGTTCATTTAGTGTCGGGAAAAAAACAAACAATGTTATTGTCTTTGTTGCCTGCTGCTTAAAAAACTGACTAAAATATGTAAAAAATTGAGGAACAGCCATAAAAATAAATGATCTGTGCAGCACTAATATTCAGCATCTATCAGCACTGAAGTCTGTTTGGTGCTGTTCTTCTGTTTTTAGACCATTTTGGCCTAAATTAAATGCTAAATCTGGAAAGTGAGAAGTTTGAACAACAACAAAGCAGAACAGATGCTGAACCAACAGAACAGAATGAAACACAAAATGTGAATTAGTAACTTAATATGAATGTCTAAAGTAGAACTGAGTAAAAAAGTAGATCAGTTTCCTCACAAATATACTTGAGTAGAAGTAAAACTGTGACTCACTGAAGTATAAATCAATCAAAAGTTTACTGAGCTACATGTAACTGAGTAAAGATAACTAGTTACTACCCACCTCTGACAGGGACAGAGCGGACAGAGGGAGGAGATGGTGACTGGACTGCAGAAGCCAGCAACCCTGCAGGAACCCAGGAACCCTCCTCCTTCAGAGCAGAGGTACAATCATATCTAATGAAGATCTTTAACACATCAGAAATGCTCAAACACTGCTGATCTAAATCAGTGTTTTCAGTAATATAAAACAGATTTACTGCAGATAAATGAAGTCTTAAAGTCTTTAAAATTATTGTAGATGTAATAACATAATTTAGTCACCAGGTGGCAGCAGTGAGTGTGCTGAAGCTCACAGAAGCTCATTGAACACATACAGATCTAAATCAGAGGGGGTTTGGGGGGCTAACAGTGCAGATCAGCTCTGCTGATTAAACACCACACTGAACATTCCAGTAAAAGAAACATCATCCACCAAATTACACAGAGAAACTTCCTGAAGAGCTTTTCATAGTTATTTTATTTCATTATCTTTAATATCTGAGATATTTATCATTTTCTCCTGAGTCTCAATCGGGTCTTTTACTGTGAGAGTTGAGCTGAGTCTGATCATCATATGCAAAGCAGGTCACAACAATAACATTATAGCAGTGAAATCAGAGAAAGATGTTATTTAGAGACAATAATTCCACTTTCATACTTAATTACACATCCTGAACTCCTGAGATGAGTCTTTTAGTCTTTATGTTTTTATCTGAACAGTCGTGTTTTTGTCTTCAGTTCTTGATAAATGTACACAGAACCTGTAACAGCAGTGATTCACAGGCAGACAGTCTCACTTATGAGGTAAACTGTAGTAACTGATATTTAAGATTTAGGCCTCTTCATGCTTTTTAACATCTAATAAGAGAGCAGAGTAAAGCAGAACTGAACTGATGTCTGTTCTGATATTTCATAAAGCAGCAGCAGATTATCTGAAAATATCCTCTTTACTGCTCACTTTCAGTCAAAGCTTGTCAGTTTCCCTCTCCAGTAATCTGTTCAGAACAGAAATGAGGATCTTTGTCTATGTAAAGCCACCAGGGCCAATATGCGTGGAAATATCTAAATACATTATTACACTTTTGCTTCAAATTTATTGCTGATATCATTACAAAAAATATTTTGTTGTGTATGCCTAAGACCTTAAACCTAAAATCCTTTTCTTTATTCTATGTTTATTATCATATATTTATTGTCAAATCTTTATTTTTATTCATGGTACTCTTGTTGTATTATTGTTTTGCTATCCAGTGATGACCAGAGGAGGATCACTTCCCCTTTTGAGTCTTGATTCCTCTCAGTATTTCTTTTTCTTGCTCTGAGGGAGTTAAAGCTGCTTTATGCAAATGCTTGAAAATAAATTTTGAATTGAATATAATTCTCTTGTACAATTCTTTCAGTGTTTAGTTTTACATTTCACTTAATTCAGTTATGCACTTTTACAGATTACAGACCAACTGAAATGAACATTAGGCACAATCTTTTATCTTGATATAATTGACACATTCTGAATGAGTGGATCTCATTCATGTGTGTGTGTGTGTGTGTGTGTGTGTGTGTGTGTGTTTGTGTGGATGAAGGCCCTTTGCATCAAACTGGGACTCCACTGTTTGATGATGGACCATAAAGCTCCTCCCACTACTGTGAGTGTTCCTGTTCCAGCAAAGCATTATGGAACGTGTAGTTTTGTGTAAGATTAAACTACACATGAGTCTATTATCACAACTGTATTAGTGTATTTAATCTGTATATCTGTCTGCATGTTCAGACTAAAATGGGTAAATGTTAAAACAGTAAATAAATAAATGACAGATATAAAGTGCTGGTAGGGCGGTTGCTAATTTTGACAGACCGCAGAAAAAAGGGAAGGAAAACAGTGTTGATAAAACCCCCACCTTAAACACGTTTACTCATCCCACCCCTTACACACACTCTGTTCTCACACTCTGCACTGTCCACTAAGTTATACAGCTGTGAAAGGTCTTTACAGAAGAAAGTAAGTAGTAAAGATTTTCTCTGATATATAAATATGTTACTGTAACTATGAGTTCCACTATCAGAGTATAACAGTGGACATGGTGAAAAGCCACAAAGTAGACTTTCAATTTCCTCAGTTAGAAAACCAAATGGAGTATCTGATGTTTAGATTGTTACATTAATGTGTTGAACGACACAAAGACATTATTCTGTGTCTTTATTTTACGAAAATGGTGGAATTGAGCTCTGAATGTGGGATGTTATCACTCATCACCCTGCTGTGTATTTCAAGTAGGATTATTCTGCTTCTGCTGAGCAGCTGTGACTATAACAGGAATTATCCTGCTATATTATTCTTTATTAACAAACTTAGAATCTGACTAAAGAGTCGCTACAGCCAAAATGAGAAGGCCATAATGCCAGACGACCACTTGCAGCTGTGTGGAGTTCAGCTCCCAGACACCCTCACCTCTGAAACGCTTACTTCAACGGTGAGAGCATGTGGGAACTGTACTCCACACAGCTGCAAATGGTCGTCTTGTATTATGGCTGGCTTTTGTTTCCCTGCTGGCTCAGGTTCACAACATTGGTGCAGTGTCCCCTCTTCCTGCACCGCCAGCATACCAGTTGCTCCATTGCCACTTGCTCAGGGCCTGCTCAGTACACCATCTCCTCCTCGAGCTACTCTGCTGCATAGCACTGTTACTCATCATGGTGTTTTCTCACTGATGATGAGTTCAAAAGCTACAGTAACAAGTGATTAATAACTGCACTGTTTTAGCTTCTTATAGCTTCTTATATTTTAATGATATATTTTCTCCTTTAATGTTTGTGTTTTAAACTACACAAACCTCCACATAAACTACTTTACACTGTTTTAAAACTGAGTTCTGTTTCTTTAAAGGTTTGTATATTTAATCTACAGATCTTTATCATCAGTGTTTGTGTGTTTTAAATTGAGGTCACTATCTCTGTGTTTGTCGCATAACCAGCCAACTTTACATGCTCTTGCATTTCCTGTAGCAACAGCAGCAGCATTAACACCCCTGCTGGACTGTCCAGCTAAGTTCAGTAAGATGATCGTCAATGTGGGTGACAAGCTGAACATCCGTCTGGACTAAGCAAAAAAAAAAAGTTTTGGTTTCAGGTTGACAGTCGACCAAACTTAACAGGTTTAATCAGCTTGATCCGGTCAAACTGTTTTTTTTTTTCAGACATTCAGCTGTTTTTTGACATTTTCACAGTATGATATTCTAATAAAACAAATACCACGGTTTCCCAACATTTCAACACAGCGTGATGAAAATTAAAAGAAAAAAGGAAACGTTTTACCCGTTTATGGGGAATCTGACATCTGTTGAGACATGTTTATGTCATGATTTTGCCAGTATTATGTAGCAAAGTTCAAGTAGCTTTACTGAAAAAATATTAAAGAATTTCATATGAAAATGAAAACTATTTACATTTTAACATCAGCGTTGTTACTAAACGATAGTTTAGAACTATTTCTTCATCATTTGAACATAATATTTTCACGTTATTTTCATTTTTTGTCTCTCTCTGTATGTGTACAAAATGATCAATAAGTAAAAATTAAAAAATAGATTTAAACATCTACCACATTTAAAGAGTTTCTATAAATCATAAACTCTATTATTTCATGTTTTTCTGAGATATTTGTAGGCCCCTGTGTTGAGTGCGGGGAGAACAGAATCCTGTATTTTTGAGAATAACTCACCTCAGTGGTATTGTGTTGTCAGTATGAGCTAAAACAGAGAGTATCTGTGTGAGTGAACGTGTTCACACTGAGTTAGAGTAACTGCAGTGTGCAGTGCAGCAGAGTCAGTCATGCAGCAGGAGTTGTTGTTTTGTTTATTAATGGTCAGCATTGCTGTGTTTGCCATTGTGTGATAATGAAGAGGCAGAAATGCATTTTAAATGATGTTTTGAAAAAGTATCTGATCACACTGAATACTGTGAAACTGTAACACTGTAACAACAAACCCCCACTCACAACTGAACTTGTGCTCCTGTGTGTGTGTGTGTGTGTGTGTGTGTGTGTGTTTCAGGAGTTCAGGCTCAGCACAGTGTAACTCTCTCCTCTCAGAGTCTCTGTGCTGTTAGTGGATCTACAGTGATAATCCAGCATGCAGAAAAACTACAGACTGAAAAAAGAAAAATAAAGAGCATCAATTAAAAACAAAGAGAAAAATACAGAGAAATGATCATCACACGTAAATATGTTTGTGTTCTTGAATAAAGGAAGAGACTGTAATCTGAAAGAGGGAGGTGCATTAACACGTTTTCCGGGTCTCTGCTGCTCATTACAGCTTGTAAGTGTGAGGAGAGCAGTGAGTCTCTTACCTCTCAGAGCTACAGTGACTCTGCTTAGTCATTAACTTTAGTCAGGATTCATTCCTTCATACTTTCCTAGTAAATGTTTGCCTTATCCAGTATTCTGTTATCTTCTAGACCTGCTGCCATGACTTCCCCAACATCAGGAAATATAACAGCAGCAGTGACCCTCATATTACTGACAGGTAAACTTTTACACTTTATATCCATTTGTGTGAACATAAAGCTGTAGATGCAAACTCTTTTACATGTCCTGTTTTTTCTGAACATTTTATAAACATGAATAGTTTGAGGCAGCGGTAGATCAGCGCTATTCAGATCCAAGTTCTGTGGGTGTGTTTGAGCAGGGAAATTACCAAATTGCTGGACACTGACCCTCCAGGACTGGAATGAAAAAACACACAAAAGCTTCAGTAGCAAGTGATTCGTAACTTTACCATTTTCTAACCTGTTAAAGCTTCTTATATTTAAATGATATATTTTCTCCTTTAATGTTTGTGTTTTAAACTAAACAGATTTCCACATAAACTACTTTAAACTACTGTTTTAAAACTGAGTTCTGTTTCTTTAAAGCTTTGTATATTTAGTCTACGGAGCTTCATTATCAGTGCTTGTTTTTGTGTTTTAAATTGTTTTAAACTGTGGTCAGTTTGTGGTCAGAAGCTGTTGTGATTGTGTGTTTAAAAACAGGCTAAAATCACACAGTGTATGTCTGGCGGGAATCTGCCAAAGTGGAATGTTTAAAGTGACGATCGACTGTCATGGAGTCAGTAACACTTCTCTGTTATCAGAGCCTCATTCACTGCGTTTTAAGTCACACGGTATCAGCTGGTATTGGAATCAAAATTCAGATCACAGACACTCTAATCTAACAATTTATGAAAGGATATCTAAGCTGACAGCTGTCTTTAAAGTCTGTATAAGCAAATAATTACAAAAAAATAGGAGGTGGCAGGTAAATTTAGGATCAAAACAAGGCCAAATTCACAAAGATATAAAAAGGCTCTAAGTATTTACATGACATGCCTTGTTTTCCTGGAACAAAAGGGGCACAGAACAGTGTGGCTAAGCGGACAGTCACACATATGTATGAAGATGACAAGCTAGATGATGATAGGAATGTTTCAGAAAGTGATTTGCTTCTCTGCAAAATGAGATACAGGAAAAGCCAGAATAATTAAGCTCCGAAACACAATGAGCCTCATTCACCAGTATCTTCTTAAGGTTTTTCTTAAATGTGTTCTTGAAAAAGGTCCAAAGAAAAAGTCTTCGCCAGATTTATGACGGTTTCTTAAACCACAGAACTGTTAGCCCCTTTGTGCTCTTGAGTGTGTGCAGATTCTGTTCTTACCTAAGAACAAATCCCAATAAAGAAAACATTAGTGAATGTCAGAATCTTCGTAAAAACTGCTAAAGTGAATTTTAAAAAGAAATTTCTTCTTAAGAACAGTTGGTGAATGAGGCCCATTATTATTGTAACAGACATGCAATGTTCTGATCTGGAATAGTTGTTCAGACAAACACTATCTAAAATCCATATGAGGATGATGTGGTCAGCATGGTCTTTTTTCAGACATCTTTGGTTGCAAATGTTGTTAATAGATGGAACTGCATTAATAAATGGGGCTTTTTTCATACTAATCAAAGTCTGTCTATGACCCCAGCTGCATGGTGCTGCCTACCTGGAGGACAACCCCTCTGGCACAGTGAGCTAGACTATTAGAAAGGTGGACAGTAAAAGGCAAAGTTAAAGACGAAGGATGGAAGTTGGCTGTTCATGATAAATTCAAAGCAACATTAGGTCAGTTTCCATCACTCACTGAGCCTGTATTGTGTTTAAAGTAAGCAAATAAAAAGAGTTTTACTTCAAGAAAAAGGCTGCTTCATTTTGACTAATTCACTCTTTATTTTTTCTTTTAGTCCAGCCCAGAAAATGGCCGCCTTCAGCCTCAGCAGGTTGCGCTTTCAGAGCTGCTTCATATTATTGCTGTCTGTAACCTTCATTGTGTCTGTCACTATCTTTGTGTTTGGCATCCGCTCTGAGTCGTCCACAGTGTGGTTCAGCAACTTCGCCAAGTTAATCACATTTCAAAAAGTCAGAAATCACACACTAATAAATATGACCTCTTTCACAAGACACAACAATACAGTCTTCCAACAGACGTCTGATGAAAAACACACAGCAGTAACTACAGTGAGCAGACATAACGTGACAGACACACTCAGTATGGAGTCCATGACAACTGTTCCAGTGAAAGAAGCATCATCCATCCGTTACCATGAAGCGTATCCACACAACTACCGCTTCATCATAGACGAGCCCCATAAGTGTGAACAAGAGAACCCATTTCTAGTCCTCGTGGTCCCAGTGGCTCCACACAAACTGGAGGCTCGCAACGCCATCCGGAGCACATGGGGTAATGAGAGCGTGGTCCAAAACAAAACCATCACGGTGATCTTCTCGCTGGGTCTGCCTGGGAACGAGGCTGAGAAACAACAGGAGGAACTAAGGCTGGAAAGCCAGCAGTACCATGACCTCGTCCAGAGCGACTTCATGGACTCGTACCGCAACTTGACGATAAAGACCATGGTAATCATGGACTGGCTGGCCACACACTGCCCACAGGCATCCTACGCTATGAAGATCGACTCTGACATGTTCTTGAATCTGGAGAACTTGATGAACTTGTTACTGAGACCTGATACTCCTAAAGAAAACTACATGACGGGAAAGGTTATGTGGAACATACCGGTCATCCGGGACAAGAACTCCAAGTGGTACGTGCCAATGGAATTATATGCTGAAGACTACTACCCAACATACCTGCTGGGGATGGGTTATGTCTTCTCCAATGACCTTTCAAAGAAGATTGCTGAGGTTTCGAAAGAAATAAAGCCATTTAACATAGAGGATGCATACGTGGGTGCCTGTCTGGAACGAATGGGTATTTCACCTTCAACTCCTCCCAATCCCTCCCAGTTTAAGGACTATTTTAGGGGTAAGTATAAACGAGAAGAGTTTGCCAGTGTGATCACCACCATCCTTAACTCCCCACAGCAGCTGATCACATTCTGGCAGGACCTAAAAAGGCCTACATGAAGGACTTGGAGGGAAAAGACCCAAACGGATGATATTTGGGATGTGATTGCCTGACATTTTCTTACAATGCTTTTGTGTTAACTGTATGGAAAACTCCTCTATTTTCTCCCAGTTTAATCAGAAAAATGCTGCTTGCAGAAGTATTCAGTCCCCTCAGACTAGTACTTGACAGAACCACCTTCTGCTGCAATAACAGTTTCTCACCAACTTCTGTATTTTTGAGTCAGAACAATGCAAATCTATGGGGGAGAAATGTGACAGGTTAGACTATTAGTACAGGGCCCTTTGATTGAGACAGAAGGAAACCCTGCTGCTCTCCCACAGCTTGTCTGTCATGTTATGTTCCAGGACCTAAACGTGACTCAAGACCAGTGGGAAGCTCTGTCAGCATTGCTACGATACGCCTGACAGCGGCACGAGATTTACAAAATGGCAAACTCCGAGCAGAAAACTCACACAAACTATATACGTTGTCAGAGAACTTGTAGAGAGGAGAATTGCCACTCTAATGTTTTCTGGGTTTCGCAAACTCTAGAGGGCGCTCCAGTGCAAGTCCAAAATGGGTTAAGATCAGTTAATATGGGTTAAGATGGTCCAAAATGGGTTAAGATGGAGCATTTGAGCAAAATCATAGTTTATAAATGCTTGAACATTTTTAATATAAAAGAATACATTAATTTCCTGAACACTGAACAGCAAATAACATTATTATATTCATTTATATATTATATTTTATATTTATTGTTACAATTTTGAGCGCTTTGAACTCAAGTTATAGGACTTTAAATCGGTGCCTCGTGTACGTCCATGACATTTGTGTGCGTAAAAACAGCCAATAAGCCGCTCCGCTCGCAACCAATCAGCACTCATTTAGCAGTAATGTTAGCGTTCTGCTGCCCAAAACCCGTTTGCTGTAGAAAAAAGAAAATATATAGGTAAGTTTTCTTTGCTTTTTTTAGTGAAATACGTCCTTCTACTGTCTAAACTTAAATGATAGTTCTGGGCAAGTGATTAGAAACTATTTTAACTATTAGTTTTTAGCGGTTGAGCTTCTTTCACACCCATTCATTGAGGACTTGTTCGCAGACGCCCTCTGGCATTTTGCAGTCATGTTTTTGATATAACGGGGGAAATAGGAAGTGGCCAGGCTCCTCATAAACCGGCTGTGACATTACATCAAAGTGTGTATATGTTGTAATTCAGGGGTTAAACCAGCGGCTCCACCTCAAGTTGTACAGCCCCGGTTTGCTGATTGTAACTCGTACAGTAGATAGAGATTAGATAAAGCTAATGTTAGCTTCTTATTCTTTTTTTCCCGTTCCACCTTAAATGATGTAGCACTTACATTCAGATGCCTGTTCGGTTGCTAGCATGTAAATGTGGCTCT